TAGGAGGTTATGTTTTCATCTGTGTTTGTTTGTTAGTTTGCAGCATTGCACAAAAACTATTGGACTGATTTCTGTTGCATTGCAAGAGAGTCATTGTCATCATAATCCCTACATTTCTCAGAAAAGTTTTTTTTAGTATATCAGTCTTTTGTCTCAGTCTAAAGGTGAATGTGTCCATATTTAAGGGCAACAGAGGAACCCCAGGACAAAATGGGAAGTTAGGACTCAAAGGACAAAGGGTAACTATTACTGGGACAGTATGAACTCAAATTCATCAATATAATATATCTGTGCAAATACATTAATTGTATTAAAAGCTGTTTTTATCTAATTGTCATTGTACAGGGTCGCCCAGGACTTCCTGGCCTGTTTGGTTTACCTGGCATTCTGGTAAGAACAAAACAAGCTCAAATCCAGCTCCTCAAGTCTGTTCTACTAATCACTAAACTGTGTTTGTCTCTTTGTTTGTGTGTATTTTTACAGGGTTTCAGAGGCCAAGTTGGGACTGAGGGACCAGAAGGAAAGCCTGGTACACAGGTTCCCATTTTATAACTTTTCATCTCATAAAATTCAGTTTTTGCTTAATACCTCACTCTCAGTCAGCTCCATCAAGCCATCACTATTACAACATTTATAACAACATTGCGATGCATATGTAATGACACATACCGGTACATTGTAATGCCATGTGTCTTATGTGCAGGGTGCTCCTGGATCTGTTGGCTCTCCTGGCCCTAAAGGAGACAGAGTGAGTTTTCTTTTTTTATAACACGGGGGTGCGATGGAAGTATGAGCAGCTCAATGAGGATACAAGCAGACAACATAACATTTCATATCTTGAAAGTTATAATACTGTAAAATTTCAACCTTTCTATATAAAGTTCCTTGAGATCATTTACGATGTGATTTTGTGTTGTACAAATATTTGAAATGAAGTTGACTGATAACAAAAAGTACAAAAAAGGCTCTTGCAAACAGTTTTGCATGTGGAAACTTTGTTGGGGAAATTGGCCTAAAGCTTTCATAGAATTCTGGAAAGTCCCCAGAAGCTAAATCTAGCAAATCTATCTAAGTAAAGACTGTATATAACTATAAATTCAGAGAGATGCTTCACCTGCACTGCTTGTAGGTTTAGATATTTATTATGTGCCACTGTGTTCACTTTTAAACACTGGTGAATGTTTTTGATTTACAAAATTATAAAATTATTATAACTCATCCATTAGAAGAGGGATACTGACCAGCCAATTAATGTATATATAAATAATTTATATATGCATACATACATACAATGTGTACAAATAATCATGCACTGTAAAATGAGATTGTAAGACCTGATGAGCATAATAAAGTATTTAGTAAGCATAGCTGCTAATATCGATGGTGTAGAAGAACATGTGTAATTATAGCTGCAAGCGGCGATACATGGGTTCACTCCCCTCTGAGCTGAACAGAGGGAAGCAGCTCAATCTACATGAATTAAAGCTGCGAGCAGCTGCCCTGTAGGCCAAGCTAGAAATACTATATGGTAGGTCTATTCCCAAGGCCTTAAGATACAGTATCTACCAAAATGTATGTTGATTGGATAAATTGTCAGTTACAGTCAGTGTTCACTAAGCAGGGATACTTTGTGAAGAAGGTTGATGGCAGCCATGGTTTTCCACTGATCTTGCTGTTTTTTAATATAGATGTGTATCCTAGCCCCCCCAAGTCTGCATAGCAAGTTTCGTCAAAATCCGAAACATTGTACTGATTGCATTAGTCTGAAACCTTAATCCAGTGCAGTGACCTTGACCTTCGGTGGGCATAACAACACCAAGCTAGCACCTTCATGAGCCAACTAAATCATATTTATTTGCAATATTGGTAAAGGAAGTTCTGGTTTCTCTTTGGTGAAGGGGTTTCCAGGTGTGGCTGGTGATCGAGGGCAGACAGGTCGTCCAGGAGCCAAAGTAGGTCAAAACTTCTTCTAATGATCATATGACAAAACCAGTGTGTTCATTTTGGGTTTTGAACATTTTGAAAGAACTCATTTGTGACTTCAACAGGCTCCCGGAAAGCCTGGTGAAAATGGAATCCCTGGACCAGCTGGGGAGAGGGTGAGCTGATGATACTCATAATATAAAGCATGAATACAGTACATTTCATGAATCAACATAAACATCAACATAAGCATGTTTAACGTGTAACAGATTTTTAATAAAAATATGAATGATTTATTTTAATGTCTCCTTTTAGGGCTTCACAGGCAGTCCAGGAATGATGGGCCCCCAGGGCCCAGTGGGCATGTATGTAAGTGAACAGAAAGAGACAGAGTTCATTAGACAGAAATATTGGAATGAAATACTAAATTGAACCAAAATAACAAAATACTTTTTTATCAAGTTCTTTTACAATGTTGTGCAGAATCCCGTTCGTAACTGGTTTAAATGTACGTGTGAATGTAAACAGAAAATATCAACTTCCGCAGGGTTACCCCGGAGCAGTAGGTCCGACTGGGGGACCAGGCCACATGGGACAAAGGGTGAGGCCTGGTTACTGCTGTGACATCATAAAATCTGAATCCATTCTCATAGCCCACAAGGATGTGGTTCAATAGAAAGTTTCAGTTATTAGAACTTTTGGTCAAGCTGCCAACCAGTGGATATGTTTGTGTCCTAAAAGATTTGTTGAGTTTCATTATTCCAAAACATGACTGAATTACTTTCTCTTACCTGTTGCGAAGGGAGACGCTGGTGTCAGAGGACTTCCTGGCAGCCTTGGAAACACTGGACCTCCGGTGAGTGTGATTGGTAAAATCATTTGGATGTCCACACATGGATGTACGTACACATTGGTTGATCTTGGCTGTATCATTGTCTCCTCAGGGTCTCCAGGGCCTTCCTGGTGAGAGAGGGCCTCCAGGACCACAGGTGAGAACAAGACTACTATACACCCATAAAGTATTGATCAGACATCATCAACTGCCATAATGTTAGAGGGTAACCTGATGCAGCTGTTTCTGTCATCTCTTTCCTTAGGGCCGTCATGGAGAGTTGGGGCCCAAAGGCATTCAGGGTCTGCCAGTGAGTATGTCGATCAGACACATGCACAGCGTTTCCACCACAGGAACTTTCCAGTGGGAACTAGGAGCCTTTGGAGACCATTGACTTCATCAAGTTTTAACCCCCCCAAAAAGTCCCCACAGGACAGGGTTCTTTGAGGTGAAGCTTGCAGGCTCAACATGAATAATTGGTCGGGTATTCCAGCATTTTATTTCAGCCAGTGTTGGCCACTCTTCCAATCAGCAGCAGCACAATTTAAATTTCCTCCATGTTGTATTGCTCGATATATAGAGCATCTTCGTTGTTGAATAGTTTTCTGTTTTTAACAATCGACAAAAACTTTTTAGTTCTGGGAGTAAAAATTCCAGGGATTTAGGATTATTTTTAAATGAAACACTTCATCACTACCACATTATTTTAGTATTAAAAGAATCAATTCAAAAGAATAAGAAATTGAATACCCTCTATAGGCGTAAATAGATTATATTCCAATTGGCCCTTGGGCACATCCATAAATCCATCCTCCACCTGCATTCTTCAAGCTGAGATATTCTGATGTCAAACATAAAATAAAAACTCTAAGTGCCTTCCACACACACACACAAAGAACACAGAGAATACAGTCATATGATATATTTGTTTCATGATCTGAATCTCATGATGATATTCTTTTTAGAATACCAATGTACTCTGACATTTGTATTTTCAGGGTCCTCCAGGCAAACCTGGACCTGGGGGCGGCTTGGGGAGCCCTGGTCCTCCAGGGAGTGAGGGGCCACCAGGGCCACCAGGGTCGGCTGGACCCAGAGGGTTTCCAGTGAGTGGGTACTTTCCACCTTCCTCTTCATTACATATTGATAGAGAGCTCTGCGATGCTGCCCTCCCTATACTCATAGTGTCATGTTATACCATATCATATACTGCAGCGTATGTTCATTGCAAGATCTTTTTTCTCCTGATTAGGGAAAACCAGGCATTACTGGGCTGATGGGTCAGGCTGGAGAGAAAGGAGAGCAGGTAACTGATTCTAGTTTTTTAAAATCTGGATGACATTTAATATTGTTGGGTTTGTTTTTATTAATGGAACAAGTCCAATCCTTGAGATTTCAGTAATATTATTATTTATTGTTCATAGGGAGCAATGGGTCCTGCTGGGAATATTGGTGCTCCAGGTCTGGATGAGCAGCAGGTTTGTTAGCGTGCTGAACACACGGCTCTCATTCTGATATACTGCGTTGTTTTAAACCTGCAATTTGTAGTATATAATACTGAGGAACCTTGTTATACATTTCACTGTGTTAATAATAAATGTGATCATGTTTGTCATGCCAGGGTCCTCCAGGGCCAACTGGAGAAGAAGGGATTCCTGGAACAAAAGGTGACCAGGTCTGTGTCTTACTGAAAAAAACTTACACACTGAATGTATTATTATATATTCATGAAATAGTCTTTTATTTAAAGATTAACTGAATAAGAGACTGAAAAGCAGTGTTTCACTTCACTCTTGAGTTGATAGTTATCATGTGTTTTATACACTTTACTGCGGCAATGATAGTGTTCTCAGCAATGATAGTTACCTTGTGTACAGGTGGAGTGCAAATAGAAAAAGTTATCCAGCTAGCTGCTGTGCAGACTGGTAAAATGGATCTGTCATGTCTCCTCTGGTGCTCCTGTCATTCTCTTTGCCTCCATACAAGATGTTTTGGTTATTATATATGATATTATATCGAGGCTGCATTCCCTCAACCCATCACTCATTTAACATATTCATAAATGGTTAATGATGAATCTTTATTATTAAACCACGACTCTACTACATTGTTAAATAGAAAACAGTGTAGATATACAAAATAGTTCTACAACGACAAGTACAAATCATATCTGTATGCACAAAACTTTCAAACATGTACAAAATATTTCTACAGCTACAACACTTTAGAGCTTTATTTTGTAAGTACACAGTTTGATCCATTTTGCCCTTTTCAGCCGCCTGTCAATTTCAATCAATCAACACAGTTTACACATTTATTTTTTCCTGTTTTCATGGCAGTGATCACCTCCCCCGATGCACCATTGTTGCATCAAGGGCTGTGATTGGTTTAAAAAAATACGAAAAAGGCAGAAAATGTTTGACCCCCTGTAGTAGGATGATAATGGCATCGACTTCTGCTGCCTATACTGTATGTAATATATCTTAATTATCCTATTAGTCCTGAAATGGTTGACATTTTCAGTCCAACAACATACCCTCCTCACGTCCTGACTTAAGTATGTGTTCTGAACAATTGTGACAGTTTTTCAAACAAGAAACAAAGCAACAGGAGATAAGGTTATTGTGCTCCAACTGTGTCAGAAAGCAGATGTGTTTAGTTTTTTTCCAAATGGCTTCACTGGAAGGTACAGAAAAAAAATGTGGATAATGGCACAGACTTCAGAAAGTCTCTCCAGGAACATACTGATAGACTTGTCTGTTTACATTTTAAGTAAAGGTTGTGTAGTCAATAAAAAAAGAAAGCTATTTTGAGTACCTGTCTCCCCTCTCACCTCCATTGGCCAAACATGAAGGCCTTTCTGAAATAGATAATTGCCAGCACAGGCATGTGACATCAGAAAGATTTATTGAGCAGGATGGGGTTCCCAACTTTATCTGACCAGCCAATGTATATCCGAGTTTACTTAAGTTGAGGCAAATAAAATTATAACATTCAGCATCAGGTCAAATGAGTCAGGCGGTCACAGAGGATGACGTCTGACAACTGTTAAACACTGAACTGTCCTGGTGAAACAGGGACCTCCGGGCCCTCAGGGGAAACCAGGACCCAAGAGACCAACGGGAAAACCAGGACCTCAAGGATCCCGGGGGCTGCAGGGTGAGCCTGGCCAGAGGGGCAAAGAGGTTAGATCTATTGTCATGCTATCCAACTATTTTATGTTGAGCTGCAACTTAGGAGAATTATAGTTAATGATCTATCTGTCGGTTGTTTGTTTGAGAACGGTGCTCATCATGATATCTTTTCCCTGTGCAGGGAGAAGCTGGAGGGCCTGGGTCACCTGGGGATCAGGGTGTTAAAGGAGCAAAGGCTAGTACCATCTTCCAATTGTATTGTCAACTAATGTAGCATATTTCTTATTGTATTCATATTGTTTTAATGAATTTACAAAATCCAGTTATTCTAGTTAAGGCAGCCTTTATACTCATATACTCGTATTTTACTCCTTGGAAACTTCCACATTTCTACTTTACAGCAGCAGAAGACTTGTTATTTTTTTAGAAAGTGAGATGGAGTGAAGGATTCATTTCCATTACAACTTTGTTTACTGATGCACACTGGGTGTTTGAGTCAGTCACACCATTGAAGTAGTCATTGCTCATGAGTAGTGTAGCTGATTGAATTTAGAGGTCACTTAATTAGGATGAAGATCATTGAAGTGGCATATAGTAGATTGAACAATGAGAACAGCTGCATCTGGAAGGTCCAATTTACAAGGGGTTTAATACCTTTTTAATACAGAGTTCTGCTAAATTCATACTTTTTCACAGGGATATGTGGGGAATCCTGGTCCATTGGGGTCAGAGGGGCCCCCAGGAGTCTTGGGCATAAAAGGGCAGAGAGGGTCAAAAGGAGAAAAGGGCTACGCAGGCCAAATGGTAAATGAGCCTCAATAACTCTTTATTAATCAGTCAATATTATCATGTGTTTGTATCTGTCCTCATCACCATTTATTTCTACTTTCAGGGTCAAGGGGGCCTGATGGGAACGGTTGGACCATCAGGCCTATTAGGACTACAGGTAAGTTACCATCTGCCATGAAAGAAGGGACTTCATCATGATAATGAGTGTGATACTTTCAAATTTGTAGAACAGGTGTCATAGTTATGGCTCTACGCCAGCGACAGCCAGTGGCCAGAAGTGTAATGTTTTCGGGTTGTTTGTCTGTCCTTCCATCTCATTCAACACAATATCTCAAGAACACAAGGGAATTTCTTCAAATTTGTTACTACTGTTTACTTGACATCACAATTTAGGTGGTCATAGGTCAAGGTCACTGTGACCTCACAAGTCCCTTGTGAATGCATTATCTTAAGAACTCTTCAGAAGGTCACATTGGCCTCTTAAATTATGTTTTTGGCCTCTTGAACCTTATATCTCAAGACTGCCTCTAGAGAATATCTTGGATGAGATGAAATTATGTAGTCTGAAACCACACTCATTGGGAGGTATACAACCACACAACGATATTTCTGGTCCTTTATGTTTTACAAACACTGTTAACCTGCATAACTTTTTTTAAACATTTACAGAGTGTCAGTTCACCTTCTTCAATCTGTTTTCAGGGGTTTCCAGGTATTTTTGGGATTCTTGGACCTCATGGGCCACCAGGACAAAAGGTAGTCAAACTAACACTCAGGACCAATAAGATGTTTACAAATGATGGACTGGATTTGTAAAAGTCTCTGTTAATACAGATATCACATGCTATATGTTGGGAGAGTTGCTGGTTACTCTAATCATTCCTCTGCATATTGGCCATGAAGCCACTTCTTCCTAACACGAGTTCACTGAAAATTCAGAGCAAAAAGATATTCCAGTGTTCTGTTCCTATGAAGTTTCAACAATCTTGAGTTCAATCAAATGGGTGTTGTCCTTGCAGGATTGTGTATAAGCAAATAAACACATAAAAATAATTTCTGTTGGCAGTGACCATTATACCCAATATGCATATGCATCTGTTTGCAATTTATTGTATGGGTTGTAGAGAACAAGAAATAAAGAGGGTGAGTCTGGAGGGACTGGGTGAATCAATATGCTGTATATGGAATAAAAAAAATCAGTATGTGTCATCAGTTTTAATTTTATGGTTGTGGCCACAGAAGTGAAAAAATTATTTTGGTTCATTATTTTACTTAAAAGTTCAGAGGACGTCAGCTGAGAAGGTAAACATGTTTATGTGATCACCTCTGAATGTGGTCGGATCTCAAATTTGTTTGTTTCTTGGGAATAGACCTCTTTATATACAGTCTTTGGTATTCACATACTTTTACTGAGAGCTGTCCGTGTGACTAAGTCACACAACCACATTAGCAAGGGTTTGTTTCCCATTCAGAATGAAGAGAATGAATGACTACAATGACCATTAGCAGCTGCGTACACACATGTGGGTGTTGAAGTTACTTTTTGATGTATGGACATGCTCTGTTTACAGGGAGATACAGGTCCTGCTGGTTTGATGGGGGAGTCAGGAACTCCAGGTCCAAAGGTACAGAGCACTCCTGCTGAATATTTATGATGTGAAGCAACAGTCCATCTATTACAAGTGCTACATCCTCTCTGTGCTCTGTCTATCTACAGGGTATGGCAGGAAGCCCAGGTGTGAAAGGTGACATGGGACAATCTGGACCACCAGTACGTGAACAAAGTACAACATGACAAATTAGTATAAAGTTAATAATTTTACCCACTACTGGACAATAACTTAACATTTTATCTTTTTCATTTTCCCAATCATGTTTATTTCGGGGGTAAAATCATCCTCTATTAAAAAAAGCACCTGAACCTGTATGGGCTTATGGTCTACCTAATGATGTTTACCTTTTGTAAATTTGCATGTCACCAAATCATAACCGGGGATATTATTGTGATTCAGGGTTCATCAGGAGTCCAGGGAAGACCTGGTAAGCCTGGGTTAAAGGGATCTCCTGGATCTGAGGGGCTGAGAGGAGAGCCTGGAGAGACAGGGCAGCCAGGAGAGGTGATGACAGCTTTTACACAAATCTAAGATTTTAGCTTGATTTTAAAGGTACAGTGTGTAGAATTTAGTGATATCTAGTGTTGAAGTTGCATGTTGCAGCTGAACACTCCTCACCTCACCCTCTCCTTCCAAACATGAAAAAGAACCTGGGGTAGCTTCAGTTGTCATAAAAACTCAAAAGGTGTTTAGTTTGTCCAGTCTGGACTAATGTAAAAAACATGGCGGCCTCCATAGAGAGGGTCCCCTCAATGTAAATATAAAGTATTTAAATATAAAGGACCTTTTCTGGGGTAAAGGAAACTACAATTCATACAATTTAGATGAAACGAACTAGTGAAAACATCATGAGGATTATTCTACATTACATTTCTGACAAAAGTTCCTTTTCACCTAAATCTTACACACTGGACTTATAATGAGTGTTGGTTAGAAATAAAACATGTAATTGTTTTTTCAATTATTATTTTAAATCTAAAAGATTTCTTAAATGTGTAAACACCAGATGGTGATGGGTCACTTTACTGTTTGCAGAGTCCTGATGGCCTGCCAGGAAATAAAGGAGCTCCAGGATTACCAGGACCAGAGGTAAATCATGACATCACTGTACAAAACTTCATGACAATCCCTCCAAATAAGATATTTCAACCTGACCAAAGTCGTGGACTGATAAAGCGATGAAAAACGTCTTACTTGAGCATCTCCACTGTCAAGGCCACACTTTGTTTTAAAAAAATGCATTAAGGCTTTTAGGTTTTTAGATTTTATTGCTTAATGGGGTCCACCACCTCTTACTTAGTTCAACGAATCAGAGAAAATCTTTAAATGTTTTGTATTCATATTGAATGCTATGTTGTTAATATTTTGAAATTGTAATATATTCTTCACAGTTGATAGAGATTCATGTAGAGGAGACTTTTGTGGTCATTGCACACTGTGACCAAACAACACCTTCATTAGTGTCATATAGCCTGATATGACAAACACCCTGTTGTGTTTGTCTTTTCCAGGGTTGGGACGGTGACATGGGGCTTCAGGGCCCTGTTGGCATTCAAGGACCTCAGGTTAGTTCTGCCTCCACACATTGACATACATCACAGTACTCAAGCATGGACCATATTGTGAAATACTCAAAGTTGGACTTCATCTGTATCACCTTCAGGGACCTAAAGGTGTTCCTGGGCTGGTGGGAAGGAAAGGACAAAAGGGTCAAAAGGTCAGCTCAAACCCTGTGTCTGTGTGTACCACACTGCAGCACTTTGTTGATGTTATACACTTTATTTTTATCCATTTCAAATTATTGCACTATTTCCCCCGTCGGCCTTAACGTTTGCTAAAGAGTAGTGTCCCACTGTTTCAGGAAATTACTGAACCCTTTTAAAACCTGAAACCATAAATTGATCTGTTGTGAACCAGTGGGTTTGGGGCTGAATGATGCAGACAGAGTAAGGAAGTCAGAAAGTATTGAACACACTGTGAAGCTGACTTTTAAGTCTAAAAAAACTAATGGATTGAATTTCAGGGGGATGATGGCAGAAGTGGACGTCCAGGGAAGGACGGACGCACTGGGAAGAGGGTAGGATGATACGCTTGACCTCTAACACGAATGTGACTTTGACATCCCACATCCTAAACTCTAATTTTCCCTCTTTCTTTTAAAGGGGAAAAGAGGGAGAGCTGGTAGTTATGGTTTGAGAGGAATACGAGGAGAAAAGGTCAGTTGAGGCTTTTGAGCCTGACAATCTGTATGAGCTGTTACCTTAAATTTTAACTTTGACTTTAATTCTTCTGCTTTCAACTAAAATGACTTCGGGTCAATCAGTGTATTACATTGATTATTGTATTAATCAAGTCTTGATCTTTCTCTTGCCCTGCAGGGGAAGATGGGAGATCTGGGTCCATCTGGTCCTCCAGGAAGACACGGTACATATGTAAGTTGTCCTTATAACCTCATCAGGTTTTCAGTCTTTACAGTCCACCTCTTCAGATATCATCAGTATTAATGTTGTGCTGTGTCTTTGTCATCTTGTGTTTGTCATACCCTCACCTTATTTCGATGAAAACAACCTAAAATAAATAAAACTGATCTTCATGTACAATATTTCCTTGAAGGGCAAAGCTGGGCCTCGTGGAGAAAAATGTGAAATGGGACCACCTGGCTTAAAGGTAGGTTTTTTTGACTTATTTGTTTTGTTTTACTCACTCATTTACTTTTTGCTACTTTATTAATAGTTTATTTGTCATGGTTAATTCAGTAAATGATTCAAACTCATATACAAGTCACCCACTTAAACAGTAATACAGCAAATCCTATTCCATTTTATGAAAAACACTGCAGATGCGATAAACGCAAAGTTTTCTAACTTCACACTGCAGCACACCAAAGCTCTGCACACAACGTCCAGCACACAAACAATAAAAAGTGACAGTATATTGTTGAACTGCTTGAGGAGGACTCACTAATGACAAGGAATAAATCTGAAGTAGCTCCTGAGCATTACCACAGGACAAGAGAACAGCCCATAACAAAAGGACAGGTTTACAACAGTTACTGCACTAGTTGTATTAAATGTCTTTGACGTTTTGAATTCTATTCTTTTTATTTATCCTCTTTGTGAAGCACTTTGTATTGGCTGTCTTGAAAGCATCGATATAGATCTTTTTTTTTATTGTGCACCTGGTATTTCTTTGTTTGCCTCAATATCTCCATTGTGCCTATTGTGCCTGCATTGTGATCAGATATCAACATACAAGTGGAGCTGGCAGATTTAGTAACATTTTTGATGAGGGGACATTTTGCTAGCCCCTGTGCTACTTTCTAGGCAGCAAAAGAGGCGTATGATTTGATGAATGCATTAATATTTCAGATCTGATCACAGTGCGAGCCAAACCACCTCCAGATGTGGTGGGAACTGTCCGATAGTGAACATAATACTTGCTGCATGCATTTACACCCTGATCCTGATCCAGATTGCATATTGGTAAATGTAGACGTGTAGAAGAATGTGAAAATCTCTTATTAGTACGGCCTGATCTACTAAGATCCCAAATAAATAGTGCTGAATTGCATGTGCATTCGAACGGATTGCACGTTTGGTTGGTGGGCGTTTTGCGGGTGATCAAGTTTGCACATGATTTTATAGACTTAAACCTTTAGTAGGTCAGGCCCTTATTCTTATTTGTATTGGTTTTTTAAAATAATTCCCTCAACTTCCCTCTATACAGGGAGAATCTGGGGACATAGGAGCAGATGGCCCTACTGGTCGAGAGGGGTTAAAGGTGAGTTTATGTTTCAATGCAGTATTCTATGAAGCTTCTTTAACAGACTTAAATCTCCTATTATATATTGTTATGTATTGTTATGTACAGTATTGCTTTTTCAGGGAACACAAGGCTTCACTGGAGAGCCAGGAAGAGCTGGTGAAAAGGGAGAGCAGGTAAAATGACAAATTCATCATATCAAACATAAGCCCCTCGGATTCAATAATTCACAAAAACATACAAGAGAACACACAATCATCATGAGAAGTTATTATTGTATGAAGGTTTAACAAAAGCACGCATTTTGATTTTGATCACAGCCCGTCAGTTAAACTCCACACTAAGTGATAACGTGTTGGACGTGTAGGTAGTTATTTAATATGTAGGTATTTATTAATCAGGTAGTTATTATGTAGGTGGTTATATTATTATTTAAAATGTACATGTATAGATCATGTTGAATTAAATACCAAACTGATTGATACCAGTGGTTAATATATTTAAAACGTTGTAGCTATTGACAGGATAAGGTCTGGAGTAAAGATTCCCTTTAGCCTCTACTATATTAAATTCTCTTTGTGACAAAGGAATTGTGTCAGTCCTAAAAACCTTCCTGCCCCCCACACAATATTGAAATGACTTTAAACACAAAGTCAAAGTTGTTTTCTCATGTCTCCATTTCCTGCTTGAATTCATTGTAAGAGCTTTCAATGAACTGTGAGTTCTGTGTCATTCTTTTCTGTTCTGTAATCACACGTTGGTATTGGTATGTGCTCTAGGGCAACATCGGCCTTCCAGGTAGACAAGGATCTCCAGGCCTGCCTGGGCTGCCTGTAAGTCGTCTCCACTAACTGATATTTCCATCAATAATAACTGATCTGATGTTTGATAGAAATCTGTCACCACTCTGAACATCTGCTCATCTGCGTCTCTGTTTTCAGGGTTTGTTTGGACACAAGGTGGGTAAAACCAAAACTAGACTGGATGAGGTTGTTTCCTGAGAACTCTGATTAAAATCTAGTTTTCTATAATATATATACTGAATATATATTGCATTCTACAATATAGAAACAGGCAACTGGTTTTATTGATTGGTTCTGATTGTATTTCTAATTGATGCAAAATCTGATCATTAGGGTCTGAAGGGATTTCCTGGACCACAAGGCCGGACTGGGGAGAAAGGATTACCTGTGAGTATGCATAAATTGTGTACAGTGCAATGAATTAATGCAGATTAGTTGTGTGACATAATTTGGGATTTTGATCAGAGTTGTTTCAGAAATAGGACATCACACATGCTGACAAGTATGAGCCTCTGTATTCACCAGTCTCCTTCTGTTTATTAGGGTCTGCCTGGTCCACCTGGGCCCCCAGGGGCCACATTCAACCTCACCATGACTCAGCTGAAGGTAAATGAAACTGAGAGCCGTTGTGTGTCCATGATCACATTATTGCATTATTGTCCTGGTTTTCTTTTGAATATTGTTCACGCCTACAGAAAATAGCACGAACCTTCAACAAGAAGTCCTTTAAAAGTGTGTTGAGAGGATGTTGGGATGGGGCCGGAAAACAAACACAACAATACTGTTATGGAAGTTTTCTCCATTGTGGAGAAATAAACAGATCAAGAGTAAAACTCACTTACTCTGCAATGAATGTCTTAGGAGCAAATGTACGTGTTGGACAAGCCCAACCCAATCCTGGTGCAGGCTCTGCTGGATTCCCTGCAGGGGGAGCTCCAATGGTTCATAAACCCACCAGATGGCAGCAAACTTCACCCAGCTACTACCTGTCTGGAACTGTGGCTGGCTCACCGAGACTCCACTAACGGTGAGAATGACACAGGATCATTCACTGATGACAAGGATGTGGCCTAATAGAGGAAAACGCTGGACTATACGTATCTGTGGGTCAGAGTGGCCTCCATGTTTGTCAGCAAACCAAGTAAATGCATTATAAATAGTCGGAGGTGTATGTTAAGATGTTTGTTGTTTGCAGTACATCATGAAGTACAAGTACTTTTTCTTTCAGGGGTGTATTACATTGATCCTAACCAGGGCAGCCCAGCTGATGCTTTTCAAGTGTATTGTGACTTCACAGCAGAACCAAAGACGTGTCTATCTCCGCAGCAGACTCAGGTATCAACAACACTGAAGAATGAAGAACACATCAAAACAAGGCTGGGTTCATCTGAATATCATCATGAATCGCCCGTCTAAGAATAGTTTCCTTTAAAGGATGCTTTCGTCCTGCCTTCCTGTTGGATGGAAAGATTGATATTAATTGGTTTCAGATGTTTCCAGCTTTGTTGAGGCTCTGTCATGAGACAGAAGGTATACATTGTTTAGTCTAGTGTAGACAATAACCTGGGTTTATAGCAACGTTGTTAGAGTAAACAGTTTTGATTAGTTGTTTTTTGCCAAATCTGACTAAGAGGGCAAAAGTATGTCATATTTGATTGTGCATATACACGGGTCAAAAGATTTAGAACACCACCATTCTCCAGTTTTTATTGTCTAGTGAATAACTGAATAACTATTTAAATGTCAGAGTTATAACATTTTCAGAGCAGAGCTAATGAGTTTAGCTCTTACAGCTTTCATGAACAACTGAAGGTTGGTATTCTTGATTTCTTTAATTTGAGAACTTTAACACATGGTGAAGGGTGAATGGTCTATTTTTTATAGTTCTTTTCTAGACTTGTCAAAGCACTTAAATACTCTTCACTTTCACCCATTCACACAAATATTCATAGAGCACTTCTATATGCTGTGCTTTGTCTATCGCACGCTATTCACACATGGCTGGCACAGCTCTCAGGGGCAATTTGGAGGTCAGTACTTTGCCCAAGGACACTTAAGGGGATTGAATGATGGACCCTCTAATTAGTGGACAACTCGCTCTATCTCCTGAGCCACAGCCACTCCTAATAAACATAAAACTACATTGACTTCAGTAAAAACTTGTAAAATGTGTTGCATGTATGTGGAGTTGTATGAAGTGGACAGACTGATAGTATTTAATGAAGTAGTATTTTAATTGTTTGTGCTCAAAACTGAGGTCATGTTTTGTGTTCATTTGTTTAAACCTAATTTTCAAATTTGACTAAAACTTTATAACATGTCAGTGACATACTGCATTAACATCAGTGACTAACCACAGGTTCCAATCAAGGCTTGGCTGAAGGATTCCGGCACCAACATGTCATTCCACTGGTTGAGCACAATTGAAGATGGCTTCCAGGTGAGCGTCTTACACATACTGCTTTTCTTTTGTCTGAGATGGATTTGAACTCTTTCTTTCTTCCTTACTCTTAATCATGTCTGATATGCGAACCCTTTCCCGACAGTTTGAGTATCCAGGAGGAGCAGATGTGGTGCAGATGAGGTTTCTGCGACTGAATAGCAGATTCTCCACTCAGACCATCACATACTCCTGTCAGCCAGGAAGTAGACAGAGCCACAGAGAGAGGGAAGCCAAGTTCCTGGCTGACACTCGGAGGCAGAGTTACGTGGGGGCACTGCCAGACTGTGTGGTAATTGACTCTGTCGCTTATTCAGTCACTGTGTTTTGATCGCCGACAAGCTACCGTCAACGAAACTGGAGGCTCCCTGCACGGAGTTTCAAAGTTAAATCCTCCTAGCATCTAAAATTCACATATACACCTGCTCCAGGTGAAAATCTGTGAGCAGCTGAGTGTTAAATATGGCATGGATCTTTTGAAGTTCTAAAAGTGCTGTGGAAAGTTATACTGAGATATTAGAGTTTATTATTTCCATGTCTATCTGATGAGCCAGTGTTTAGTAAGGATCAAAATGTATTTGTTGGTCCTATCTTGGAAAAAACAGCTTTCTTCTGATGATAAGAACAGACATTTTACTAATTTAAAATACAGTACTTATATTTAAACTATGGCAGTTTGATTTTTGTATTTGATATTTTCTCTTATTTATTATTTATTCTGTTTTCTACTGATGTGATTTTGCATTGATATCTTCAGCTAAATGCCTTCATCAACATACTCATTCTGATGAAATATGAAAAACACTAGGTGCAGGTGAGGCTGGTCGAAATTAGCCTGAGTTTTGCAGGTATTTGTAAAATATTGGACAAATTAAAATGTGAACCTGATGACCCATCCAGAATGCTTGAGTTATGAATGTAGATGAAAACATTAAAAACCCATTCAATAGATGTCCTGGCATTCAAAACCACCATGTGGATGTAGAGAAGAGAAGAGGGGATCAATCAGAGCGCTTATGATTCTTTGTCCGTGTAAAGTTTAGTGGGATTCCATCTGTTGGATGTTGGGATTTCACAGTGATGGTCAAAGTTATTTCTTGAGACGGAATTAATGAAGAAGGTTGAATTCAGACACATGAGACAGATTTTTAGACAGTCTACTTGCTAGAAGAATGGTCAGCAGAAAAAAATTGTAATTGATGGTTAAGGCTGGGGGGCAGACGAGCAGAGGGAGGAACGGAGGGTCCTGTAAGCCTGTTGTAGTGAGGGGGGGAAGCAGACACGGCAGCCGGTGGTTGGAGAAACTGGCATCACAGTCCTGGGCACAAGAAAGAGAATTATGAACTCTAGAAGTTTGCATGTAAGAATAATCTCTAGAGTAACAAGCAGTTTGTACAAAACAGCCAAGAGAATTTATACCAACTGAGCTGGTAGAACTATCTGGCGAGGAATGGCAGGAGACCAGGGTATGTGTATTGCACACACACATAGGAAATGGTGGGGGACCAGGAACGCCATTTATGAGTCAAATTGTATTTTGTAAATATGGATTGATTGATTTAAAAATCTATTCATTAGAATGACAATCCCAACACACAAAAAGACAAAGGAATAGAGATGAATTTCACTGAGAATTATTTTCTTTTTAAATGTTTCCTTTCCTTCCTTTCCCTTAGACGTCAGAGATGTTGGAGTCAGCAGGTCGGGAATCAGTTCTGCAGTTTGACAGCGATGATCTCCAGCTGCTGCCTCTCAGGGACCTGGCAGTGTTTGGAAACAAGGAAGTAACCTGGGAGTTTGGCTTCACTATTGGACCAGCATGCTTCAGCTGATCTCTCATGCAGGGTTGGATCTGAGTGATGGCTGCAGCCCCAAAGATCTGAACAGGCACCGTGTATCTCTGCCACTTTTCTACTGTCTTTCATACCTTGACATCAGTTTGGAGTTGGCATTGCTTTTTTTGAAAGTTGTTTAACTTTTTTTGCAAGTATGTTAACCAGCCAGTTTACTTGGGATGTCTTGAGCTGTCTCATTGTCCGCAGTGTAAACTCTGAACAATCTCTTTGACTTAAAACACTGAGGACGAGAGACACATACAGTGAGCTGTAGATCCTCTGGGAGAGAGAACGCTTCTCTCCCTTCCTCTGCACAGTGACTGTTGCCTTGAACCTGAATATCCTGATAGTAACTCTTCGTTTAGTTACATTTTGTTTGTGTGTGTTTGTGAAACTTGCTTATTTATGTAAATGTTTGACTTTCATTTAATCATTTTCATTTTGACCCAGGTAAATTTTGACTTGATCATTGTGGTGATGATAACTTGTGGCTCATGCATCTCAGATAATGTGTTTGCTTTCTTTATTCTGGTCTATTCTGTCATGTTATGAGTTTGCCAGTGTTCAAGTACATGCACATGCATCAAGCCAACTAGCAAGTCCACTGATTTTGACCTTTGCATTGAAAATAATCTACTTTGATCTGAAATTCTATTTTATAAATGCATATCCTGCCCTTGCATTCAGAATACTATTTCTAGCTCACCCAGTCATATGAGTGACGGTGATTTTCAAAAATCTAATTTAAAGAAAAACCACGGTTATTCAAGGTAACTTCTTTCAAAATGACTAAAGGAGTCCCCCAACAGCATTTGAGTCAGTGAATTGTCCCTTTCACAGTTTTGTGTACAATTTCAGACTCTCACTATATTAATATTTCATTCATTAGACCATCAGTATTATTTTTATTTCCTTTCTTATTTATGTAAATCTAATCATAGAAGAGTTAACCGATCAGATGCATGGTCCTACCTTGTGGCAGACAGCTTGCAGGATTCTTTAGCTTTTTTTCCCCCACGGGATTTTGATCTATAAACTCTATAGACTTAATGCTGTGTACAAACTTTGTCCAAATTGTCCCATGTTAAATGTAAGTACTGTAAATACATCATGTGGCTGTTGTAGATATTTTTTAAACTTGTTTGACATTAACATGTAGTCTACGTTTATAGTACGTCAGTCATTTGTGTGTATCGCCATCTTTTGTCATGACTTTTTTTCATATTGATTTTCTATTTGGTTTTATGGTTCTTTATTTATATTGTGTTGATTTCAGATTGTCCTGTTTGATTCTCAACATGTCTCAAAATTTCACTGGTGAAATTAAAGCTGCATTAAAATGTATATTTCCTGGCCATTTGGGGACCACAAGAAAAGTTGAAAACACAACAGCAACATTTTCACCGTGAGAAGTTGTTATAGAGATGTTCACAGTTTCCTTTTGCAGCATTTACATTTATTTGGCTTGGTGTCTGTGTCAACCTGAGGAATGTCTGTCAAAGTGGACTTGCATTGTATTTTAGTCCCCACCAACTCCTGAGAAAGATATTTGGCTCGCTTCTAAATGCTGCGTAATGTTCACCAGCTTGTGTTGAACTTTGTCTCTCTGGTGTTTGGTGCCAAACAGATTGACAGTGTGCTTATTGGAGATTGATGTTGAAAACATCTGCCTGAAAAAAGACATTTGTGGGAGTGGAGTTAAAGGCTGGAAAACCAAACCAGTTTTCTCAAATCTGTACAGCTGAGTGGAACTGCAGTCCAGTGATAATTCTCTGTGAGTCACAGTGTCTTCTCTTTTCACATGTAGTCACTTGATCATTAGTTCTCATACAAGTATCTATTAGTGCAGCTTTGACCATTACATGAAGGTATTTTGCTGTTTTAGTCGTATATAGTCCTGGATGGCTCATTAGCTTCCTTCAGATATCATTCCCACCCTGAGCTAACTATGCTAAATGTCAGAACATGCTTAGTTATATTTGATATTGCATGTTGCTTGATCGTGAATGGATGGATTTAAATGAATGTTGCTGTGTGTTGTTTCACTCAGGGAAGTGAGCTTACCCCCATGAGCTAGAATAACCTGTACTCTGTCCTGCTCTTATTCTCATACCAGGATTCATGCAAATTTGCAGACATAATTTCTCTCAGTGAGTTACCGGTGGAGCTAATATCACTGCCGTATGGGAGCTGAAAGCAGATATAGTTGATTTCTTTTCCGCCTCTTATGCAACAAGGACACAATTCTCTAATGGTTCACGGTTGTTTCTTATTCAATATCTGAGAGCCCCATTCATCATGCAAATTGAGCTTTAGTGTCTGTAATCAGTGCCATGAAAATGTACTTAACATTGATGGCTGCCTATTTATTAGATAAATCAGCAGATCTGGTGTCATGTGGGATAACTGTGCGCCTGATATATAGATGTACAGATATATATGACTTTGTCATGCCATTAAAAATGTGGATAGTATCTGTATGCATGATAAATAATTTATCCAACAGTATGAATCTCTGCACTATACTGTGTATTCCAATAAACCGGCCTCAAATAACTCACTAATATTGTGACATTTTGTCCCCCCCTCCATTTACAATGAAATACTTGTATAACTTGATACTAGTACACAAGCCAGTATAAACACAGAGTATATATATACATTGTGTTGTATACATGTCGGAAGAAGAACCACCAATCCAGTTCATATGATGGCTGCACGATCATGCGCCCTCTAGTGGGCAGGATGCACAGCATTGCCCTGAACTCATGACATCTTTATATCAAATCGAGGTGAATATTTAAAAAGTGTTTTTCTCTTTTTACAAATAACAGTGACATCAGTATGAGTTGTTGCTGTATTGCTATTGAGTCTTCTGATCTGGCAGAAAACTCAATGGTATGTGATGATTTCCACATAATGCACTAGATAAATATATTAAAAAGAATGATTATAAATAAAAAACGAAGGATAAAAACACTACTCGTTGGGGATAAACTCAACAGTGTGTTGTGTTGGTGTGTTTATTTCCTCCGGAGCGGTTTCGTCCACGCAGCCTGTAACGCGTCTGTGTTTTCCGATGTTCGGAGGGGAGCAGTGGAGGCAGCATGGAGCCATCGGACCGTGTGCTGTCAGTGAAGCAGCATCTCAGCCACAAGTGGATCTGTCTCCCAGCCCTGGATCTCTCACCTCCACGACACCGACCTCACCATGACCAGGCCGCCGAGGCTGTCCCTGTGACCGACGGCAGCTCAGACGTCTCCGGCGGATTCATCTGGTCGCCTCTGTAACGCTGGATACTTTTCAAGGTAATGTCAGTGTATTTGTATTTATTCTTGTCCATGTTGGATCGTGTGTGCCCTTTCTATCGCCAGGACGTTTGAAATAGTGTTTCTGCGGGACTTTAAAGTGATTATATAGTCACCTATATGATCGGTTGTTTTAGGCCTCAAGCGATGCCTCGGTCCACAGTTGAGCTGTGAACCCGCCAAAACATTACCTCGACCCGGTGACGCGTCGCCGAGGGACCCGCGGCGGAGCTACGGAGAGAGCGCAGAGGTTGCCCTCCTGTGTGGAAGGTAAAACAGCCTTATTCTGCAGTTCAAGCTAATTCACTCGTGTGCAGTGTCTCCTGTAATAAATGATATAACTACTGGATAGCTGTTGTGCATATAATATTTAGTTTATAGTTAGTTTTCATGCTGGTAACTACTAAAGTCCGCCTGTTGATGAATGGAGCTGTCGTTACATGGTGGCAGGTGTGTTCCAGCTACGTGGATAGCTAGCTAGCTGACTTGAGCCCTGTAATGAACAACACGATCATGAATAAAGTGTATGTTACTCAGTTCTCTGCTGCAGCTCTGGATGAGGGCGATGTTTGCTGTGCAACCGGGTTATAGCAACTAAAAGGTCCAGTGTGTAAGATTTAGGTGAAAGGGAACTATTGGCAGAAATGTAATGTAGAATAATCTCATGATGTTTTCACTAGTTTATTTCATCTAAATTGTATGAATTGTAGTTTTCTTTACCCCAGAAAATGCTCTTTATATTTAAATACTTTATATTTACATGGAGGGGTCCCTCTCTACAGAGGCCTCCATGTTTTTTACATTAGTCCAGACTGAACAAACTAAACACCTTTTGAGTTTTTATGACAACTGAAGCTACCACAGGTTCTTTTTCATGTTTGGAAGGAGAGGGTGAGGTGAGGGGTGTTCAGCTGCAACATGCAACTCCAACACTAGATGTCACTATATTCTACACACTGTATCTTTAAGTTAGATTGTTACTATGTAAAGTGAGTGTAGAGGAGGTGAGACTCTGCTTTGAATATGTGACACATTGTTGTTCTAACAATAATAATAATAATAATAATAATAGCAGCCATACATGCTCACACGCTTGCTGTGTTTCCCCCCTCTAGCCTGGTTCTTGCTGGGTTAATAGCACCACACCTCCATCCAGCTCTCCTCTCACTCACACTGCACTCTGAATGTGTGTGTCCTCCTCCAGGGCTGCTCTACAGAAATGCACCCACCGTCTCGACAGGACTACGTATCCGTGAGCCTTGCTGGACAAGGAAGTGGAGGTTACAACAACAGTAAGCAGTGGAGGAGACAGTCCTGCTGGAGGGTAAGTGGGTCGCATCAAGGAGCTGCTCATCGGGCAGGAATTTCCGTCTCTGCTCTCGTGTTTACAGATCTCTAGTTTCTTCCACCCTGCTCTAAACAGGACACCACTGCTGTGTCCCACTTTTCCCGTAGCTGATGCTCACCAGTATATCTCTGGAAAAATGTACTGTGGTTGAATGTCTAGGATGAAGTACCTACTAATATACCTTATACCTACTCTGACAGCCTTAGTGCAGTGAGGGTTAGAAGCTGCAAATAACCAAATAACTTTGTCTCCATTGTGGTCAACTTTAATTGGCCAGCAGGTGCTATTTTATATGTTAGCATCAACATTGCAAAGTTGGGCTTGTTGTATTTTCTGACATTTTCAGTTCTAAATGTAGTTTGTTTTGAAAAATTAGATTTGTATTCTATCTGTGACAGCAGGGCAAGGTGATCTCTCCAGACATCCTAATGCAGCAACCATTTCCAGTGCATTCAGCATTGTACTGTATGATTCTGTGCTTGTTGTGTACAAATATGTAGTAACTCAATAACCAAGTAGAGAGGTGGAATGATTGCACTGTAACAGAGTAAATAATGCCCCAGGACTTCAAACTACAATGTCAGCACAGATATTTGACTCTTCAGAGTGTTCTAACATTACATTTTAGTTATTAGGCTCAGCAGGTCTTGATTAGTGTTGGTAGTGGGAGCTGTGTTTTTAAAAGAAAAGATATGTTGGCTCATTAATATCTGGAGATACTATCAAAGTTATTGATCATGGCAGAAACTTAATAAGAAAAGTGTGTGTGTGTGTGTGTGTGTGTGTGTGTGTGTGTGTGTGTGTGTGTGTGTGTGATATTATATCATCATTTTCATGTAGCACTGAGCATTGCTTTTATAAATTTAATTGGATTAAAATTTTGCTGATAGTAATAATTGCTAGAGTTGATCGTACCAAAAGATGGCATGGTATAATTAACATGGGGCGGTGTTTTATATAATAAACCATTCCAGTGCACATTATCCCCTTTCAGACCTTTTTTAACATTCGTTTTGAGAGAACTGATCACAAGTTGACAGCTCTAAGTTCGTCTCTCCACACCCGGCGTTAAAATGTATTTCATGTTACCACACAGGTCTTACTTCCTCTCTATATGGAAATACACACGCACCATTGCTTTTCACAAAACCAAATGTTGTTTTTAGCCAATCTGAGTTTACAGGTGTGTCTATTCTCGATATGTGTGTGTCTCAGTGTGAGAAGGAGAGATGAGGAGAGGGAGAGAGCAGAGCCAGGAGGGGCTGAGTGAATCAATGTGCAGGCATTGCAATGAAATAAAAAAGATATTACTCTGAAATCAAAATCTAGATATGGTATGAAGTATATCATATTGATTTATTATGAAACATCCCACTGTGTTCTGACTGAGCAGATGTCAAATGTGCCGTCACACATTTTTGGGTGCATTCACACCTGTACCTGGAGGCTGTTCACTTGTCATGGCCTCACTCAGGACAATACCAGGTCTTAATGGGGTCAGTGTTGGAAGTAGTATTTAGTTTCGAATGGCTTCACACTGTTATTAGAAAACTCAGACAAAAGAAGTTCTCAGCGGTGCAGCACTTCACTTGCAGTAGTCTAGTGAGTTTATTCATAGACCACAACACTGACCCAACTAACTTGCACAGAAATGAAATGAGATTATTTGATTGATGGTTACAAATCATTTACCACAGCACAGCAGCTCTAAATTTGCTGTTATGTTCAAAAACATTTTAGCAGCACAAGACCACAAAATTATTTTAGTTTGATGGATGAGACCTGTCACTCATGTGGCTTGTTCGGTCAAGAAAATGAATATAAAGTATATTCTGCAGGAGCTGAGTTGAAACTGACTGACTTATTCTCCATGTCCCTCTCGTCCTCTGTGTGCCTGCAGAAATGGAAGCAGCTGTCCAGGCTGCAGCGGAGCCTCATCCTCTTCATCCTTGTCCTTATGTTTATTTGTGGGATTGCCACCTATCCTTCCATCATTGAACACCTCAGAGGTAAGGCTCTTCATTCATTAAACATTTCCCATTTTGGGGGATTTAATGTCTGTATCAAATCTGTTATAGATTAGATTCATTGGCCATGTCCAAGCTGCCCTCAGCTCCTCTGCTGCTAGCTGGTCTGAAGCCGGTGATGGTCTTCATTCCACACCAGACCTCCCTCATGTTGTTCTGCTGGACATTCCCTCCAGCTTCCTCCTATAGCTGTCCTTTGCCTCCTTGATCTTGTTTTTCAGGTCCTGGAGGAATCTCTTGTCTCTTGACAGAGATTCCTCCATTTATAGTTAGATGATAAAATAAGTAACAGTGGATTATGATTAGAGGGCTGTTCTTTAATGTCTCGGCAGCAGAGGTTGTGTTTACTCATTTTAAGTAACAAAAACTTTTTGTATGTGTGTTGAGGCCTTCCAGATGGCGAGCACGACATAGACAGTAACAGCGCCCTGAGGCCCGCCATCCCTCATGTGCTGCCTGAGCCTGTCAAACAGGGTCATGCAGCACTGCCAGAACAACCTTCCCAGGTTTGTAAATCTCTGCTTCTGTTCTCTGAAGGCCGTCACAAGGTTACTTGAAATCTTTGAAGCATAGAACATTTTGATGGCTGTTCTGTCAGTTTGTGAGTGATGTTTGATAGAAAAAGCACTTTGTATAGAAGTGCTGTATGAATGTGTGTAAAAGGGGGAAGGTCAAGTGTTATATAAATGCTGTCCATTTACATGTTAACATCTAGTACCTTAACCCCCGCCAAGGAGGTTATGGTTTTCACATTGTCTGTATAGTTTGCAGAATTACACAAAAATTACTGGACAGATTACCGTGAAACTCATCAAATTCTGGTGCAGGCCTGAATAAATGGGCGATCCAGGATTTTTTATTCACTTCCTCTGTGATTTTCACACAAAATTCATTCCATCAATGGTGGTAGCAGTGGTGCACATGCACAAATGTAACTCTCACACACAACAGATTCAAAGGGATAGGTGAAGAGTGAAAGGTTATCTTGTGAGAGAAAGAACTGGTGCATGCCACTTAAGTTGCAGGTACGTGCACAACTGCAGCTGAAGCTATAAGGAAGGTAACAACTTTATTGACGAAAGCACAAGCAAACACATGGCAAACAGTTATGTTTAAATAAATAAATAAATAAAATAATATGTTTAAATACAAATAATGCTTCACAAAGCTATACAATGCAGCAGCGGAGCCAGAAATCAAGTTAGAAATCTTTTATGTTATTTTGAGAAGTTTTAAATAAAGTTTGTTTCATCACAAGACAAAATAGAATATTGATATCGATAAACCTATTGTGCCGTTAAGCACCTTATCTGGTAACCATGGCATCAGTAAAGTACAATATCAAGCGATTCTTTATAGCAGGGAGAAAACTGTTTTGTAGATATAAAAGGTTCAAATGTGTTCAGGGTTGGAGTTTGTCTCAGATCAGGCTCATGATTTACATTCACTGTGCACTCTGACTAAATTCTACTGTGGAAACTTCTAGTGATCAAGTTTGTCCCGGATCAAATTCATCTCTATAAGCGGTTGATTACTTAAAATAATTGTGTAGCTTATTTATGATAGTCTCAGAACGTGAGGGAAAAGTAACACGATCACATAATGATCGATACTTTTCTTAATCGGTTAAATCTTTATTCAGAGCAGTGCTCGCATTCATCAGCCACTCGCTCGCTCTTTTTCTCTCTCTCTCTCTCTCTGTTTATATATTGCAAGTCATATCGTCATCACAATATTCAACAAGGTTATCGCATAGCACATGTTTTCCTTATATCGAAGGAACAGATGTCTTTTAAAATGACTTGCTTACATGAAGTGAAGTTTTGAATGGTTAAATACTTTCTTTAATCTTGTCATGATTTGCTGCAGAGGAAATTATCCAATAAGAGAGGACCACCTGTCCTTCAGAATCGCCTTCAGAGGAAAGGGAACACTTCAGACATAGTGGTGGCGAACAAGGCGTCTGACAGCAAGAAAGAAGGGGAGGAGGAGATCATCAGGTGAGGCTTGCAATGTGATCACAACGAAAGTTCTGTGCATGTAGTTTCTGCTGCTAATTTCTCACTCCACCGGTGACTTTCAGCTGGCGTGGAGCAGTGATCGACACTGAACAGGTCACACAGGGCACCAAGGATGGGGAAAAGGAGGATTCACCTACCAACCAAGAAGCCATACTATCCAAAGAGTCAGGTATCTGTTGTTTTATTTACCTCGATCAATTATGAATTCACATTTATAATTTAGTACTTTTTTAAATAAAAGCAGATGTATCACAGTTTCTTATAGACTTGTCTTTGAGTCTGACCTTGTACTTCTAACAGAGGTCATTTGTTTCCTTGTGGAGCTGCGATGGGATCACAGACTGGCATCTTGTGTGTTGTATGTGTTCTAGAAACTAGCTGGCTGGAGACAGTGCGGGAATCTTTCAGACATGCATGGAAGGGCTATAAAGATTTTGCTTGGGGCCATGATGAGCTAAGGCCCATCTCCAAGTCCTATGGCGAGTGGTTTGGCCTTGGTTTGACGCTTATTGATGCCCTGGATACCATGTGGATCCTGGGGCTCAAAGAAGGTAGGCTCTATCTTCAAACACTAAACATAGAATAGTTGCCTCCTGAATGCTTGAAAGGTTGATCTGAGGAAGGGAAAGCTCACAGATGACCGTCTCAAAGCTTGTTGTCAAAATATATCAAATGGGCTGCTCGTTATTATTCTTGACACCAATGTTTTGTTACAGAATTTGAAGAAGCAAAGGCGTGGGTGGCCACAGAGCTGACCTTCAACAAGAATGTAGATGTCAACCTGTTTGAGAGCACCATTCGCATCTTGGGAGGTCTGCTGAGCACCTACAATCTAACTGGAGACACCCTGTTCTTAGACAAGGCTGTGAGTCAACACACGTGATCTCATTTAAAAGCATGTATAGTCACATGAAATTTTGTAAGCATGTAGTATAAAATCCATAATTCAGGAAAAGACACTTGGTGCACGGATCAAAATTACTGCAGTTTAACTTTCCCTTGATTGACTAATAAATTAAGATGATTTGTTTAATGGTTTCAGATGTAGAAATGCTACATTTAACACCTTTATAATAAAAGTACTTGACATGAAATTGAAACTGACTGCAAATATAAGTCATGAATACAGAAGACAGTAAAATAATATTCGCTCCGGTCACAAACAGCAACAAACTCAAAGTGCTTGAGTACACACAACAAAACTGTGCACCACCCTCATCTTTTTAAAAAAATCAGGTTTGGTTAGAATTTCAGCAGCAAACATCTGCACATAATCTCTGTTCTCCCTCTACAGAAAGACATCGGCTCCAGGCTGATGCCTGCCTTCAACACCCCGTCCAAGATCCCCTACTCTGATGTGAACATTGGGAAAGGTACAGCCCATCCCCCTCGCTGGACCTCAGACAGCACAGTGGCTGAGGTTACGAGCATCCAGCTGGAGTTCAAAGAGCTCAGCCGCCTCACCCAGGATCCCCAATACGAGGTAACGTTTTTTTTCGACTGACACTTTGGTTCAGTTCTCTGCCTGTGTTATTGCTGACATAACGTGATGTCATCATGTTTTTTCCCTCTAACATTGTGTAAATAACAGTGACAGAAAACTGCTAAAAAAAAAAAGGGGATAGTTCACCCAGAAATGTAAATTCACTCGTTACCTACTCACCACTATGCTGATGGAGGCGTGGGTGAAGTGTTTGAGCATCTATCCTTGATTTTCCAGGCTGCGGTGGACGAGGTTATGAATCAGGTCCACAAGCTGGACGGCAAGCTGGATGGTCTTGTTCCCATGTTCATCAATACGAACAGTGGACAGTTCACCCATCAAGGCATCTACACACTTGGAGCCAGAGCAGACAGCTACTATGAATACCTCCTGAAGCAGTGGATCCAAGGAGGCAAAAAGGAGAACCAGTGAGTTGAGCCACAAGTACCTGCTATTTACTCACATGACCAGACCTGATACTAGCAAATACTCAGAATCTAAAGGATCATACTGCTACTATTGCAAATCCAGCTCTGTAAATACTGTGCAAGTAACTGCTTGTTTTCATTGTTTGTGTGTGTGTGATGGCAGCTCCTGGAGACACCTACTGTAGTGTGAATTATACCACAGAGGTGATTTTAGGTATCTGTCCTGTCTTTGGATAAATATGTCTTACTCATGTAGTAACGTAGTAATGACTACTGAGGACTCAAAAGTCCTAACTGACAGGTTTTACTGTTTGAAAGCCACCATGGCACCAACTTCTTTTATAGCTCAATCCAGAGTGTTGGGATGTGATGAGTCTGGCTCTGTTCACATTTGAACCAAAACTGTACCGGACCCTTTTTTTGAAGCATATTGTAACTGCAATTAGAGCTGAAAGTATGACATGACAAGATATGCGTTTGGATAAATGCAGTACAGGGTTTCCTCCAAACATGATGCTTCAGGCTGCATTTACATTGCTACGTTTTCAGTTAAAATTGCACCAACTCTACTACAGATACACACCAAAACACTGTGTACTTGTACTTGTATGGATGTAGCCCAACAGTGAGGCCAGACAGCCCCGTCTTTGTTTCATCAGACCAGAGAATCTTGTTTCTCAGTCTGAGAGTTGCTCAGGTGCGTCTGTGTGTCTTTCTGTGAAGAGAGGCTTCTGTCTCTGCTTGAGTGAAGCAGAGAGTTGTCCCTCTGAAAATGTTGTGCCAGAGGTACAAGGGGGTTTGTTGTCACCTGTTACTACTATTGCTCTTTGGAGCATTTAATGCAGCAGAGCTTTTTTTGGTCACCTCGACGCAGTCCTGTCTCTGAGCTCTGCTGGGAGCTGTGTTTTTAAAAGAAAAGATATGTTGGCTCATTAATATCTGGGGATACTATCAAACATAGTTAACATAGTCATTGATCATGACAGAAACTTAATAAGAAAAGTTATGTGTCAGCTCAGTATCAACTGCTTCCTTTGATCCTTCATGATACATGTCACTGTGGGAAAACCTCACTCGTGGTGAACTTGATGTATTTTCTATAAATCTAAAATTAACTCTTTCTTCATAATAGGGTATAAGGTGTTAACTAAATGGGTGTGAATCCTTTCTGAAGGAACATTTCCATCCATTTTCCATTTCCAAGTGTCAAATGACTTCACTCAGGCATCAGGCACACCCTGTTCACCATACTGTCTGATTCCTTTCCCTTTTCATTGTAAAGTTCAAAGAGTGCTATTCCTTCATTGTGTGTGTGTGTGTGTGTGTGTGTGTGTGTGT